ATTTTGGAACATCCCTACCTCAAGAAAATGGAGATTAACAAACATGAAACAAATGTGAATACAATACATGGCGCAGTGGCGACGGGGGGGGGGAAGCACTTTGTACTTTCGGTTCCTCCCATTGTGTGTTCATTGCTTAACAAGAGTTGGCAGGTAGTTTCTACAAACTCAGACCGGTATCCCTTCGTGGCTTCACCAGATTTCATGAACCTCTAGTTGATGGGTGAATACGATAATTTGAAGCAGCGCAAATGCAAAATGCCCCCCCCCCGTCGCCACTGCGCCATGTATTGTATTCACATTTGTTTCATGTTTGTTAATCTCCATTTTCTTGAGGTAGGGATGTTCCAAAATGTTACAAATGGGTCGGATATCGCTGTTGTAGAAGATTCTGGGATGCTTGACGGACAACATATTGTACGTTTGTTATTTCGTCAATTGGGCATTATTTCATTGTCTTTCTCATTTCAATACGTCGGTTTTAAATTCCAAGGTACTTGAGTTCAATTCTTGCTCCAATTTTCGGCCTAGGGGTGAAGGGGGAGGGGGGCGGGGGGTTAGGACCCTACTAACGATGGGATTAGAATGCGTCTACACTTTGCGTCAGCGTTTTGAAAGTTTTGACCGCATGCCAGCGTACCAGCGTAGCGTTTTCAGCAGCTAGGGAAGCATAGGCATCGATTTAGCGTTTTGATGGTACGCTAGTGTGTCGCGAACCGAAAGTATGAACGCTTTCTTACTGGCACGAAAATTATTCTCTGACCCTGTCGTTCCAACTTTTTTAGGCTCGCTCAAAAGACTTAGTGTCTACTGCGGTAATCCCAGTTTTGCTCAAGGTGTCCCTCATATGCTCCTCCTTCCCCCCCCCCCCCCCTCCGCGAGGGCTTAAGCACCTAATTTTCTTAGCTTTCTAAAGCTGTTATCCTTCATGGTCCATATCTATGTCTACTTTTTGCCCCGTCATCTTCTACATGAAACTTTTAGGCTCGAGGCGCCCAAATGGTTCACATCGACGAAGATGGTGCCACCTATTTTTACGAAGGCGAAGAAACCGGAGAAATTCTTGTGGATGGAGCTACCTACGAGTATCAAAATATGAATATGGAGGGGAACAACATCTTCATCGAAGAAGCAATGCCGTCTACGGTGCGTTTTCGGACGGACATGTAAAATAGTCCGCATCCACTTTTACTTGCCATTAACTGTCTTTAATTTTGCTTACCTGAGATCGAATCACCTTGTGTTTCCCGGAAAACGGGCGAAACAATCGTAGATTGTCGCGTTGTCGCGCGCAGCGCATCGTGCAGCAGCAGGCGGTGAATCATCTACGTACCTCAGTTTGTCGATTAATGCAGCGAAACTCATGTGAATTCAAGCGAAGGCACGGCTGTCATGCCAAGTGATGTTGATCTCTCCCATCATTCCAATTAAAATTGAAATAGTCAGGCAAGACAAGTCGTCTTTCGCGTGCGCGACGTCGCTCGCCGCGCATGCGAGGGACGAGTTGTTCTGTCTGGCCGGCTTGGCATGTTGTGATGGTCCTTGTTACATACAGTGGGACCAAACAGTCACTTTTCTTCATTCACTTCGAGGCCCATATTAAAATTACACTTTATTGAATTCTGATCGGACATTTTTACCACCATATTAAAGAGCATATCAAATACTCATGACACTCCGCCACAGCCTTCTGGACGAGCGCCATCGAGAGATTCTGGCACGCGACCGCGATGTGGTGCCTGAGATCAGCGAGATAGTCGATTTCTCCGCCACCGTAGACCACCCTATTGAACTCCGCCCAGATCCGGGTATTTTCCGCCACCGTAGACCACCCTATTGAACTTTCCGCCCGAACCGGAGGTAATGAGGGGATTCAGGTCAGGTGACCTACTTGGATATTCCATCTTCTTTAGGTACCCAGCCCCCTTCCATTCCAAGTAGGCGAGAGTTTCTCCAACGCCCTTCGATTCCATGTGGTGGCACCCAATGCTGTAGCAGTACAAAGTTTCCAAGAAGGTACGGGCGACGACATGTGGGGAGGGGGAATATTCTTCACGAGTTGCTCAATGTAACCGCCAGCGCTCACCTTATGTCCGGGGTCCACGAAGAAAATATTGGTCTTCCCATTCCAGGTACGCCCGGTCCATACCATCAACCCGCGCCTTGGCGACTGCGGTGAAGATGATGTCCTAGACCGTGGCGACGTT